GATGTACAGAGGAGTGGCGCCACCTTTTAATGCCTTGTCCTTATCCGCATGGGCCTCAAGCAAAAGCCGTGCAACCTCCAACTGTCCAGTCTGAGCTGCGACGAACAAAGGAGTGGCGCCATTCTGCTTAGCTTTATCCTTATCTGCATTGGCTTTAAGCAAAAGCCGCGCAACCTCCAACTGTCCATTCTGTGCTGCGATGTACAAGGGGGTGACCCCATTGTGCTCAGCTCTATCCTTATCCGCATTGGCCTCCAGCAACAGGCGTGTCACCTCGAGGTGGCCTTTCTGAGCTGCGATGTACAAGGGCGTGGCACCATTCTGCTTAGCTGTATCCTTGTCCGCGTTGGCCTCCAGCAACAGGCGTGTCACCTCGAGGTGGCCTTTCTGGGCTGCGATACACAAAGGAGTGGCGTCACCTTCCAATGTCTTTTCCTTGTCCGCATTGGCCTCAAGCAAAAGCCGTGCAACCTCCAACTGTCCATTCTGAGCTGCGACGTACAAAGGTGTGGCGCCATTCTGCTTCGCTGTATCCTTATCCGCATTGGCCTCAAGCAAAAGCCGTGCAACCTTCAACTGTCCATTCTGAGCTGCGATGTACAGAGGAGTGGCGCCACCTTCCAATGTCTTGTCCTTATCCGCATTGGCCTCAAGCAAAAGCCGTGCAACCTCCAACTGTCCAGTCTGAGCTGCGACGAACAAGGGAGTGGCGCCATTCTGCTTAGCTTTATCCGTATCCGCATTGGCTTTAAGCAAAAGCCGCGCAACCTCCAACTGTCCATTCTGTGCTGCGATGTACAAGGGGGTGACGCCATTCTGCTCAGCTTTATCCTTATCCGCATTGGCCTCCAGCAACAGGCGTGTCACCTCAAGGTGGCCTTGCTCGGATGCCACCAACAGCGGGGTTGGATGACCCACACATACTGAATCTGGGTCTTGCGGTCTCTGGAGAAAATTCTCCACTTCTGATGTGAGGCCGCTTCCTGCAGCATCCCGAAGCGCTGTCACTTGCGCCGAAGATGCTGGGCAAAAGTTTAGAAGAAGGACCTGAACTTCGCCGGTTCTCAAGATGCAGTCGTCAGCTAGAACCGCATCATCACCCAGATATACCAGCCTTTGCCTGAACCTTGACAGCCCACATTTTCTGTGCAAGTGCTGCTTCAATGCCCGAATTGGGTACATGTCCGCAGGAAGCATCGCGTGAAAGCTCGCCAAGTCAAGAGCACAAAGCTCTTCACCGGACACTGTGCGAATGCGCAGCATGTCTAGCGCTATACGGAAGGCACTCGGACCCCAAGGAGCAAGCTTCGCCGCATTACGAGATTCTGACAAGTTTTGCAGTCTGGGAACATGCTCAGAATGTTGACACATGTCCTGCATCCTCATTGTGTGGAGAAGTCGCTATGCTGCGTTGTGAGGTTGGTCTTCCGTCAACATGTTGTTTCACGCGACTGGTCGAAGCCCCGAAGCTGCGCAAAGCCGTGGGTGCGAACCCCCTGAAACCCGAACTCCAGGCCTCCGAAAACCATCTCTCTCTCTCTCTCTATATATATATATATATATTTATACATATACATATATACATATATATACATATATATAAATATACATATACATATACATGTACATATATATATATATATGTATATATAAACCTAACCAAGGAAAAGACTTGGAATACCAACCGAGTATATCTTTTGGTAATCATTGCAGGGGCAGTTGGGTGTAGGGTTCCATGAAGCCTCCGCAAAAAGGCCGCTAGCTCCGCCCGTTTAAAGGCATGTGTAGTCTCGAAGGTTTGGGGTATAAACCCTAAACCCTATACCATAAGGGTCCAAGTACCCAAATAGTAGGGTTTCAAGGCCCAAAAACCATTCAGAGTATGGATTTTGGGGCCTAAAACCTTGCTATTTGGGTACTCGGACCCTCTGGGATACCAATACGTAAGGTTTCGGGTTGAGGTTGGGGTTTGGAGTCTACGGGTCTCGGAGCAGGTTGCTTCCAGCCTTGTTGTAGCTCCGATGGTTGAGACCCTCAACCCTAAACCCTAAACCCGAAACCCAAAACCCTAAAACCTAAACCCTAAACCCTAAACCCTAAACCCGAAACCCTAAACCGTAAACCCTAAACCCAAAACCCGAAACCCAAAACCCTAAAGCCTAAACCCCAAACCCCAAACTGTCGGTTTACCCTGGGGCTCCAAATAGCCCAAAGTAGGTAATATTTACAGCCTTTAGACCCCAAAGTAGGTACTACTTGTATACTTGGAGCCTTGGGGTTAGAGCTTCTAAACCCTAAACCCGAAACCCAAAACCCTGAACCCCAAACCCAACTGTCGGTTTAGAGCTTCAGGAGCTTTCAGGTTAACATGCAAGATGGTGGCCTGGCCGCCGTTTTGGAGGTCTCAGACTGTAGCCCCAACATATGGGTGGTTGTCAGAATCAGGGTCCCTTCTGGGGTACCCTAAATAATAGGTGCCGTATTATAATGGGACCCAAAAAGGGACCATAATTTTGACAACCACCCATATGGAGGCCCTTATAAGGAAGAACCCGCATTGCCCCGTAAATGTTGAGCCCTGAAAAAGACATAAACAAGCAGAAAACCCACAACACTAAACCCTAAACCCTAAACCCTAAACCCTAAACCCTAAATCCTAAACCCTAAATCCTACACCGGCCTCAACAGGCACCTTCATCCGCTTGGCATCCATTATTGCCGGGAGTGCTCCGAGCCTCCCATGCAACGCACAACTGCACTTTTCACGGGAGTTCTCGTGTTTGGGTTAGGGCCTATGGGGTTTAGGGGTTTAGGGTTTAGGGGTTTAGTTTAGGGTTTAGGGGTTTAGTTTAGGGTTTAGGGGTTTAGTTTAGGGTTTAGGGGTTCTCTACGCCTTTTGGGGGACGTGGGCATGTTGTAGAGGGGTCTCAGGGTGTCGGGCTCTGTTCTCAGGAGGATCCTGGGTGTTTTGCTGCGCATTGGAGTTTTGTATGGCTTTGAGTTTACCCATAGGCCCATAGTAGTTCCTTTTTGGGGTTCATATTTAGAATCCTATAAGGTAATCCCAAAAAGGAACTACTACTGTTGATGGACAAAATTCTGCATGACCCAAATATAGTATAGTACCATAAATCCCATAGTTTAGGT